TATACATATATATGCACATATATATCATATAAATAAATAAATAAATAAATATATATATATATATGTATATATATGCTGCTGCAGACTCCTTGCAGTTGCGAAGGCAGGAAAGTACTATCAGCCACCAGTGAAGGAGGCGCCTCCTTCAGCGCCTGCACCTGTAGAGAAGAAGACAGAAGAAGCGAAGCCCCCAGAAGATGATGAGTAAGAAGAAGTGCATGCATAAACAGCTAAATATATCAACAAAAGGTTTTGTTTGTTTGTACAAACTCAGAGACCTTATGCATATACTTATACGTATACATATACTTATACATATACATATACATATACATATACTTATACATATACATATACATATACTTATACATATACATATACATTTACATATACATATACATATACATTTACTTATACATATACATATACATATACATATACATATACATATACATATACATATACTTATGCATATACATATACTTATACATATACATATATTTAGACATATACATTTACTTATACATATACATTTACTTATACATATACATATACATATACATATACATATACATATACATATACATATACATATACATATACATATACATGCATACTGTATATGCAGTATATATGTATATGTACATATGCACATACACCATATGCAGTAAATGTATTAATGCTTATACTGTAAATGTCTTTATGCGGGCATAGAAACTAATTTAAACTTAATTTAAAAATAAAGCAGCTAGTCTGTGCATTTGGCTGGTTGTAGCTAGCGGGGCTCTCTTTAATTACTTTCTTTTATTTTTAACTATTTTATTTTATTTTAATTTTTAATTGTATTATATTTTATCATTTTATGATATTAGATTATATTATATATTTTATTTTATTATATTTTATTTTATTCTATAATATTTTATTTTATTTTATTTGTTTATATTTGTGTGTTGTTCTTCAGAGTATTTGTTATTAGAGACGGCTATTTAATGCTCTTTGAGCAGGCAGGAGACCCACAACCAATTCTGAAGTTGCATAACGCAGATTGTGCAACGCTAGCAGATGCGAAGAACAGAGAGTTTGTAATAACTCATAAGGTAAGAGAAAGAGAGTAAATTAAATAATAAAAGGGGTTTGTTATTAAATATAATAAATAGAGTTATCATAATTGTACTTTATTTATTTAGTTAGTGGTATATCAAAGAAGAAACACAAAAGGGTTTATTAAATATAATAAATAAATAGAGTTGTTAGACAAAAGGGTTTATTAAATATAATAAATAAGTAGAGTTATGATAAATAAATAGAATTATAATAATGCATTATTCATTTATTTAATGATATATCAAAGAAGAAAGGCAAAAGGTTTTATTAAATATAATTAATAAGTAGAGTTGTAGTAATATTATATATTTATTTAATGATATATTAAAGAAGAAAGACAAAAAAAAGATGAGTGAGTGGCGCAATGGATAGCGCGTCGCCCTCCGGAGGCGGAGGTTGCGGGTTCGAGTCCCGTCTCGCTCTTTGAATAATAATTATATTTTTTATTTTTTTTTGTTGTTTATGCTTTATAATATGTTTATTTATCGAATATATTATGCAGAATTAATTTAATCTATCATTTTACGCAAGTTAAGTGGCCTATTACACTTCAGCTGTACACCCAACACTGCATAGAAATAACGAGCATCTATGATGTGCTATTTTATTAGGGAGATAGATTGTGTTATATCTGCATATTAAATACAGGAATAATATTATTAAAATATATTTATTAATATATATTTATATATATATTACTCAATTAATACTTCTATGGTGTACATATACATACACTCAACTAATTATTGCTCTATATATATATCGATGCTTGTTTTTCTGTTGCTTTCATCTTCTTACTGCAGCCAGGAACCCCTGAGCAAGAAACTTATGTCTTTTCCTTCCCAACAGATGAAATATATAAAGGGTTTGTATAAATTTATTTCTTTCATCGCCAACTTGTTCTTCTAGAGTTACTACAGACTAACCCATGCATGACTTAACCGCTGAGAGCCTCCAGCCATCAACAGACGGGCTTATATATATACATATATATATATATATATTTATTTATTTATAT